TGGTGTACTGTAATGTGAATCTATTCTGGTGAAAACATTTTTTGTTGCCCTTATTAAAACCTTAGTGTCCTTTCATTATTTGTGACTCTCTCTCAATTGCCCCTACAGATAAAAAATATATATATAAAAATAAATGAATATAAACTTAGAGCATGTGGTCATCAAGACATGTATTTTGTATAAAAGAAAACCAGAACCAAAAACCCCTAAAAAAAAAAGGAAAAAAGAAAAAGAAAAAAAAAAGAGATGTCTGATGACAATGCTATATAATTCTTTTTCATCTTTACTTTTCCGATTATAAATGCTGGTACCTCATATTAATGTAAATTTGTCCTTTGTAGCCTTAGAAAAAGGGTTTCTATGCCATATTACATGAAGTAATATGGTATGAAAAAGTTGTAACTTTTTTTTTTCCTTGCAATTGCTGTATTTAAATACAGTCAATACTTGACTCTGGGTGGGAAAATTCTTTTACCTAATGCCTCCATTCAAAAGCCATATGAGATGTGAAGTTGCAGAAAGTCAAAAGATAATTTTTCTTGAAGAAAAGTCCTTTTGCTTGTTCTATATCCTTTCATTGTGCTTACTTTGCATAAGAAGTCTGATTTCCAGATACATGTTTAGCTGCCTTTGTTACTTGCTCTTATTTAACTGATGCAAACAATATGGTGGTTCAAGCAATGGTTTTGCTGTTGTACTGAAAAAGTGTAGTAGAATATTCTACTATAAAGTAGTCATGAGTTTAAGTCTCTCCTAAATGACATTAGTCATTGGTTGAGAGGAATTATCTACTAAAGGAGAAACTTTCTGTGTATATATATTACCACCTGAGGATTTATTTCCTGCAAGGGCTGCATGGCTTTTTCATTTTCCTTAGCTTAAAAGAATGCACATAAGGATGCATCTTTCTATATAGAGAAATAAAGCTTCAGTTGCTTTGTTTTGTTAAGCAAGTTTGTTTAAATTTCTCCTGCTCTGGTGTGTCTGTGCGTATGTATTAATTTTTGATATACCACTATTTCAAATGGAGATGGAGATGTACATGTTTTAATTTTTTTATTTCTTTCTGGTGGCATTACCCTTCCTGTGAAATCAAGAAGTACTGCACAGCACCAGTGAGTAGATCACTAACAGCTTCAATGCACTTTTCCTGTTGTGAGTGAATACATAAGAACTTAGTTCATTAACACTTGGGTTTTTTCACACAGCAGCCATAGAATGTGCCCATTATACGTAAAAAGGATGAAATCAGGAATTGTAATCATTGTTTTGTTCTGGTCTCTCCAGCTTTTTTAGCACCTGACTTGACCATAAGTTAAATTTGACATATGAGAATCATTACTAATCACCTGTGTGAAGTCCATCATGTGCTTAACTTGAAATATTTCATTTAAACATACCTTTAAGTGTTTTGATACATAGCAGTAAGGATCACTTGCAGACCCTTCTCTATATTCCAGACTTCAGGTATTTCAGCAGGGGCTTGAAATGCTCCCTGATTACGACAGTATTTAGCCACAAACTCACTTTTGTAAAACTGCAAACTTTTAATGTGTATGTGTGTTGAGTGTTTTGTCTTAAACAGTTTTAATTCTTGTTCTCAAAATCAGATTGCAGCTGTTTATTAAATAGTAAGGTCAGTCTTTAGTATGGCATGTTGAACGATGTATTGGCATTTTCAGTATCATTAGGAAATAATTAATGCTTCCTAAATTTATCAGAAATCACATTATTGTCATAAATTCCTCCCATTTTCTACCCAAGATTCATTTGCCATCAGTAGTTACCCAAGTTGGGTTTTGAAACAGAAGGTTTTACATAGATGTCCATGTTGGAAATAAAAAGATGGTTGTCAAGAAAATAGCTTTTATTCCAGAAGATGGAGCTATTCCATCATCAGCAATAATGTTTTTCAAGTGGTTCATGTGTTCAGATTGAACGTTGTAAACTGCAGAGATACTGCAGTCAAGTATGCATCATGGTTCAATGTATGCATTTTATTCCTAAATTTGAATGGTGATGCAAAATGCAATAAAAGACCTTAGTTCTGAAAAAATAAAGACATGCAATTTTATAATAATTAGGAGTTCAGGGCAAATACTTCCTTTTTATTGCTTTGTAAGAACTGTCAGCAGCTGGACTAGAATAAGGTTGGTGTCGAATAGTTACACACACATTGCTGTGCAGGACAATATGTGATGGAAGACAACTCTGCACAGACACAGAGCTTTCAGGTTAATGATCTGGATCAGAAACCTGTCCTCGCTTGCCACCTTAAGAGGGTGTGAAGTGACACCCTGGCTGTTCTGGCCATCCCTTTGAGTTCTTGCAGAGCTCACCTGAGAAATGCAGTGTAGGGACTATACCACTCAGTCTGCACACAGAGCCCTGCAGATGGTGCTGGCAATGTAGTCCAGGCCAGGTGGGATTTCCCTAACTTCTCCAATCATGCCAGCATGTGCTCTGCATCTCCTTGGTTTGAGATCAAGTTTTGGACAATTCTCAGGTGAAGCAGTAGCCTTAAGACACTAAGGAAATTAGACAGCAGCAATAAGGAAATTACATTGACAGTACGGTTCAGTGTGAGAAATAGTGAAAAATTCATGCAATTTTCAGAAAATAAGTTTACTTTGCTAGTCACCTTTTTTTTCTCTCTAAGTAATTGTGTTCAGTCATTGAGGAAAATGCAGCTTTTTGTAATTAGGAAACAAAGCATAAATTATGACAGCTGATTTTTGTTGAACAAAAGGTTGTGGTTGTGGAGTAATTTCAATGTGTACTCACAGAGGGACTCTACAATGCAGCAAAATTTGTTTCCTTAGTACCTATGACCCTGTCCCATGAGAAGCCATGTGGATAGGTGGGGAAAACAGGAGAAGTGGTGCATAAACCTTTCAGTCCCAAAAGGAGGTGGTGTGTGGGATGGGAGAGAAAAGGCATGAGTGGTGGTAGGCACTCACCCCATACCTGTTTTCACTGACCTTTTTTATTAGATAAAAGAGTTTCTTCTATTACACTTCACAGTTTTATCTGTTACTGTTAGGAATGGCTGTTAAATATTTTAATTCCCTATTTTTAAACATCCACTTTTCAGTCTGTTACACTCATGTGCATTATGTGATACTTGTTATGTGTAGGACTGAGTAGGATGCAGAGTAAGTCGAGTGGGAGCTTAAGTTACTGAGAGTTAAGAGGATGTTCAGTAATCATACATGAAACAGAGAGTCTCTGGGTTATAACAGCAAAGGTTATTGGTTATTGTTTTGGAAACACTGAAGTTTGAATTACTCTTTTTTGGGGGTTAGAACTAAGCCATAGGGTGGGTGTGTGTCTCATGAGAGTTGTGGTTGTGGTCTCAGCACAGGACATACCATCCCCAAGGGCTTGGTTAAGTGTGGCAATTTCCCATTTCTCAAGTGAGAAATAAATCTTTCCTCTGGCAGCTTTTGAATTTGAAGTGTTGAAACCTGAAAGCCTCAGCACATGAAGCACAGATGCTTGGAACCAGCATATAATGGGGCACGTGCTTCAAACCTTAGGCTGGTGTTTGTGTCTGTGGTATTAATGAGCTGTCTCTGCTGACACCCATGCACAGCAGGCATCTCACAGATGCACAGAGATGATGTGGGATTAGTGCCTGCTCCTGATGCTACTCCAGTTGGAGCTGGCAGCCTCTGACAAGCAGCTCAGCCTTGGCAGGGCCCCAGCTCACTGTAGGCACTGGTGGGCAGGGCTCCTCGTCTCTGCCCACCCTGAGCATGGGGTGTCTGTCATGCTCTTTGCTATCAAGGAGCTCCCACTCACTTCAGAGTTCCTTGCTGTTTTCTGTGATGGAAGATGTGTTACTGCAACATGAGCCAAGTTCATGACTGGGTGTGAAATAAATCTTGGTCCTGGGAAGGAGCTGAAATGATAATTTCACTTCTTCCTTATCCCTTGAGATGGCATAATTGCACCTTAACATTACCTTTACAAAAGACTCTGCTCTTGCCAGCCCAGTTCTCCACCCAGTTCTCCCAGGCTAAATACCAGAAAGGATTTGAGTGAGACACTAGTGCAGTAAAGAACATTGGGATGCAGAGGGAGATGCATGTGATGGTGGCTAGACAAACTGGTGGTGGGCAAGGGGAGTAAGCACATGCACAGGGAGACGGGACAGAAAAGGTTGAATCTATTTCGAGCAGCAAATGGGGTTTAAACATTGTAGGTTTAATATGTACTCTCTGATGAGGCCAACTGAGCTTCTGACATGTTTCAACTTCCCACATAGCCTGGCTCAAAGGTTTTCACCCAGCAACTTCTGTATGCTGTTGGTGGATGTGGAAATGAGGTATGTATTTAAAAGTGTTTCGTCCAGCTAGTTTTATTTTCAGGATATTGGTGTGTTGGTGTTTCCAAATATATGTATCTGGAAAATATTTCCTCACCCAAGAACTAGTTCTCTTTATGAAGTAAAACCACTGATAATAGCAGTTATGGCACAGTTGCAAGTGCATAATTTGAGTAGGGGAGGATGCAGCTAAGTTGCTGTATTATGTCCCAGGTACTGGTGAGGTATCAACAGCATGCCAAGTAATTGTTTCATCAAATGTTTCTCTGTCTTTGTGGTGCTTTTTTTAATTTTATTTGGGGTTTCTTTTTTTTAATTTTATGAAAGGAGAAAATCTCTGAAG